AGATGATATGCTAATAATTAGTATGTCCAAACCTCAAATAGATGAATTAAAAGCAAAAATAAATGCTGAATTTGAGATGACAGATCTAGGATCTGCAAAAAGGATATTAGGGATGATGATTGATAGAAATAGAAAAGAAAATAGACTGAAACTACATCAATTCCCATATCTGCAGAAACTCATATCTAGGTTTGGTTTCATTGGTGCTAAAATTGTAAATGTACCCTTAGCAGGTCATTTCACCTTAAGCAAAGTTCAATCCCCCAAAACTGATGTAGATAGGATTAAAATGGAAAACATCCCCTACTCTAGTGCCATAGGATTAGTGATGTATTCAATGATAAGCACTAGGCCTGATCTTTCATTTGCAATATCTCTATTAAGTAGGTTTATGTCAAATCCAGGAATAGAGCATTGGGTTGCCTTAAAATGGACACTTAGATATATTAACACTACAATGCATGTTGGATTAGAGTATTGCAAAAGAACTCCTGCACTTGATCTTGTTGGGTATGTGGATTCTGATTTTGCAGGAGATCGTCATTCAAGGAAGTCCACCACAGCTTATTATTTCACTTTAGGTGGAAACTGCATTAGCTGGAAATCCTAGCTTCAACCATTAGTGGCACTGTCCACAACAGAAGCTGAGTATGTGGCAGTAACTGATGCTTTCAAAGAGGCAATCTGGCTACAAGGGATTTTGAAAGAGATAAACTTGATGAATGGCCCTGTGACTGTATATTTTGACAGTCAAAGTGCCATTCATCTAAGTAAAAACCCAGTATACCATGAGAGGACGAAGCATGTGGATGTAAAGTATCATTTTGTCTGAGATCAGATTTCAAAGGGAACTGTCAACCTGCTAAAAATTCCAATTGAAGAAAATCCATCTGATATGGGAACCAAAGTTGTAACTGCTGTAAAGTTCAAGCACTGCTTGAACATTCTTCACATCAACTGAATTCAACAGAGCAAAGAAGGAGTATGAGAACTGCTTGCTGCACCTGCTGGTTACTGACAAAGGAAAGAATAAGGCTTCAAGGTGGAGATTGTTAAATGTAAAGCCAAAGCGACACCGTTTAACTTAAGCCAAGAAATTCCAAAACGACACCGTTGTGACTTAAACCGACGCTCAATCCCGATCGTTGGTTTGAATCCAAATCTAACGGCTGAAGACTTAAGCAGAGTCAAACCTATAAAAGCTGGCGACTCTTCAGTTTTTCATTAACGCGTTTTTTCTCTCTGTTTTGATATCTCTCTGAGTTACAAATTAGGGTTCAAGATTAGGGTTTGTTCGTATGGGTGTAAATCTGCGGGAAATCTGTCCATTGAGTTGTGTTTCTTAGTGGGGAGGGAACCTGGCGTAGTGTTCTTATCTCAGATTGTAGGTTTACTGTTGTTGTTTCAAATCCTGGTTGATCTTGGTTGAAATCTTGTAAGAGAGAGAGGTTGAGGGTTGTAACCGTTCTTGATCGAAATAGAAAGTACAGCGAGCATCCATATTCTAGAGCTCAACGTGGACGTAGCTTGTTCAATATTGAACAAGTGAACCACGGTAAATACTGTGTGTTGAATCTGTTTGGTTTGCGTTGATTGTGTGTTTGTTGGTTGATATTTGCTTGATTTGTTTAAGAGTATTTACAACAGATTTCAACCATAAATGATTTCAAGATGCAATGCAAAAACAACAAGATATTGAATAACTGCAAAAAAACACATTAAAATATAAAAATGTGACAAAAACCGACAACACAATATAAATTTAAACTTGCATAAACATCAAAATGTCCATCAATACAAAAGTTAAAATGTCGTCAAACATAACAAAGTAAATCAAATAGGCAAATATCTTACACACAAATGAACTTCAAAATGAAATATATTGGCTAAAATCTCTGTTTTTTTTCTCCCTCTTTTTGACGGTTTGCCTCTGCCTCTGCATCCAGTTTTCACATTTTTTTGCTTCAGTTGATATATTTGCTGCATTTTTATCAAACGTTCTTTGATATGAATAGAAAAACATATCCTTCATTTGCTGCAACACTTTTGAATAATATTTTTCAGCCTACAATAAAAGAAATCATTTTAAAATTATATATCAACAAATTAAAAGTTAAATAAGAATACATTACATTTAGAAACACATACTGTTTCAAGTTAGCCCTGCAAATTTTCTAGATTCAAAGCCAGCTGATGTTTTTCATTTGCTAAGCTTTCCATCTGTGTTTCAATTAAAAAAAAAAAAAAAAACATAAAAAATACTTGATAAAATATGACATTTAAAGTCATTAAAAAACAAACATATTCTAAAACAATGTTGATACCTTCTTTCGTGAATCAAAATACAAGCTTTTGTATTTTGCATGACAAAGACACACATCCTCGTGAGGGGAATATTTTGTCTATTGACTTTGTAAAAGTTCTGTTAAGTAGTCGACTTTGTCTTCCAACCTCTTCTTTTCACAAACTGGTACATCCTGTGCCATTTCCTCAAATACAGGAGTTTCATTATCTCTCTCACTTTTACTAACAACAACTGAATCAATCAAACGATCAATATCCCACTACCAACTATGTGAAACTGAACCTTCAAGCCTTACAGAGCGTCTAACATTAACACTAGGGGTGTTCGGTTTTGGGTACCCTGCACTTTTTGAAGGAACGGGAACCGGAGTCGGAACTGGAACCGAAACCAGAATCGGAACCAGAATCAGAACCGGAACCGGAACCGACGGTTCCTTGAAATTTGGAACCAGAACTGGAACCAACGGTTCCGGTTCCTAGGTACCCAGAACCAGAACCTGTAACAATGGTTCCGGTTCTGATTCTGGGTACCCTGTAAAGTTTACATGACCCCCTAAAAGTTTTTAAAATGGCAAAAAAACCCTTAAAAACTTACAAATACCCCCCCACCTGGCACTTGTTAACAAAAATAAAATTACAAATTATAAATTCAAAATGACAAACTCCATTACTTTATAAAGGTAGATTCTCAAAAGTCAAACCAACTTACTTTAAATATTATGAAATATAAATATAAATGTATTCACATTACTTTTTCTACAAAAGTTTTTATTAACCCCCTTAATCTTTAATTTTATTTTATATTAGTCTTGGTTCCTGGTTCTTGGTTCCTGTTCCAAAAATTTGGAACCAGAACCTACCCATCGACGACTGGTTCTGGGTAGGAACCAAAACCAAATCCAGGGTACCCGCCGGTTCCGGTTCCAACCGGTTCTTTTGAACACCCCTAATTAACACTAATGCCTCTCTTCTGTTTCCTTTTTTAAGAAACATTTCCAAAATGAACTTGAACTTTAGGTTGTGAAATTACATTATACACAAACTTTTTTCTTTGCTCGATTCTATCAAGATTAAAACTTTATTAGAAACACACACACACACACACAAAAAAGAAAAGGTCCAACAACAATCAAACTTCCCTTAATTTGCTTACAATACAAAATCCCAACCCTCTATTTTCATTCAGCATGAAAAGGAAAAGAACGGTTCCATTATCTAGGATTCTCTTCAAGGTTTCTTTTTAACAAATTCAAAACTTCGAATTCACAATCAAACTACTCTCTATAATCTGTGCAGTTAACAATAGTAATAAAAAACAAATCTAACCAAAGTGTGTAATATAACAAAAAACACGACAAAACTTAAAACAAACAAAACACAAGAAAGGAAAAAGACAAACACTGTAAGCATCTTCAAAGTAAATTACAACAGCAGCACGAGACGAAGCTAAAATAATCTTCACAGAAAGAACAATTTTAACAGTGAGAGTGAACAAATGAAAGACACAAAACTAAAACATAACAAATAAAACCCTAGACAAACAAATAAACCAGTTTAACATCCAGTAAAAACAAACCGGCTTAACACTTATAAATAACTTGAATAAATGTAATATTAATTATTTTGTATAAAATATTTCCACAGCAATACTAACAATTGCATCCCTGAAATTTAGCTTTAAGTAAAGTAACTTTAATTTAATAAATTTTCTAGCAATGTTTTGGTCATGATGATTACCTTTCGTCCTAAAATTTGTCAATAATAATAAATTAAAATGTAACTGTCAACAACCAAATCTTACTAAAATATATTTCTCCTCCATTGCTAATATGATAAATTACTTCTGACAACCCGCTCATAAAAACAATAAAAAAAATTAAACCAAATTTCAAGGACGAAATCTTATATTCCAATTCATCAATGCCGAAGATAGTATAATAAATTTTGTACACTGAGACTTATGGTTGTTTCTCTTCCCTTTCTTTACTGGAAAAGCAACAATTAAGAGCATGTTTGCTTAACGAGAAACTTTATTTTAATTTTCTTTCTAAAATTGGATAAATTTAATATTGCTTCTTTTGTATATAATATTTCCATTATTTATTATATATAAATCAACAATAATGAAAATAAATCTTTTTTTACACCAACAATAAATATGTACTATTTATTTTGGATATAATATTTTTATTATTGATTTCTTTAATTATCAATTCAATATATAATAAACTTTAATACGGACAATATATATTTAAAGTAAAAAAATGAAAAAATAATTACATAAACAAACCGAACAACGAGCAGACTTTAAATCTAGTTATATCATATGGATAAGCGAGTTTTTGTATTTGAGTGATGCTTAACTGGGCTTTTTGTAATTATCCTAACAAAAGGTGGAAAGATTCAAAGATAAGAAATGAGTAGTGCGGCGGTGGAGCTGGTTCTTGAAAGGATGATGCATATAAAAAATGGGTAATGTTATAGTTACGAATAAATCTTATAAAATCTTAAAGTGATGGGTAAAAAGTGAATATATAATGAGTTTCACTTTTTATTTTATTCTTTTATTTATTTTTTATTACCTTATTTTATTTCTTTGTAAATATAATATTGTGGATAAAAAATAGCCAGCTAAAAAACTAGATACATCTCCACACAATCCTAACTAGACTAAGGGTCTCTTTGGTTGGTGTTGCTGTCCTGATGATGATGGCCGTAACGCTCAGCTAACGAAACTCAGGTTTAATAGACTCTACGGTTTCCATTTTCAATTCATAATAATGTCTTCCTTCAATCTCTCTTCCTCCTCCTCAATGCTTGCCTCCTCTTCACAGTAAGCTTTCTTTTTCAAATTTTCACAATTCAACATTTCTCTTTATTTAGTAATCTGCATCTCTTTATTATTAACTTTTGTTTAGAATTAGACCAATTTTTTTTCTTTTAAATTGTTTGTGTTGTATTCTTTAGAGTGTATGGTGGTTCGCGTTCTGTGAATTTATTGTCAGCAAATGGATGCACGTCGGATTTGTTATGGAGTCGAAAACTGTGCTTGAGTTTCAAAAATGTTGGTAGAATTACAGCTGCTTTGGTTTCTGGAGAAGGAGAGATATTATCTTATCCGACGAACAATACACAATCATCTGGTGTTGAGGTACAACCTGATGCTCTTGGTTTCGGGACTCTTGCGGCTGAAATTACTCCGGCGACTAGTGGTTTCTTTGTCGGTGATGATGAATATGACCTCGATCGCCCCACTGAAGGGTTTGCTTCCATTCCGGAGGCTATTGAAGATATTCGTCAAGGCAAAGTTAGTGGAATTTTGATTCATCATTTTGAAAATTTGTGTTTTGAGATGAGGTGTTACTAATTCTGGATTGTTTGTAGTTTGTAATTGTTGTAGATGATGAAGATAGAGAAAATGAGGGAGATTTGATAATGGCAGCGTCATTGGTTACCCCTGAAGCTATGGCATATATTGTCAAGCATGGAACGGGGATAGTGTGTGTGAGCATGAAAGGTGAAGACTTGGAGAGGTTGGAGCTTCCACTGATGGTGACACAGAAGGAGAATGAGGAAAAGCTTCGCACTGCTTTCACAGTGTCAGTGGTATGTGATTTGCTCTGATTATGTTTAGAATCTGGATTTCGTTAAAGAATTTGGAAATATTTTTCATTTTCTTCATTGGGGAAACCATGATCGGACTCCCATTCTTCTTTCCCCGTCCTAGTCTAGGGAAACCCCTGAGTGAAGGCTCTCGGAAGGACAAAAAAGTTAATGTAACTTGCTTTGTGGTTAGATATATACGATTTTCTTCCTTTTCCTGACGTTTCCCATTTCTTTTTAAGAGCATTATTAGTCCACCTTTATTCTTTCTTCGTCTTTTGAGTTGTATTGATTGCTTTTCAGTGTTGAAATGGTTGAAATAGGGTCCAAAACTTACTTCTGATTTCGCGTGTAGAGAGAATTGCAATAGTTTACTCTGTCATTAGTATTTAAAGACTCCTCGAGTCACTGATCAGTAAGTTTCACAATGGAGGTGTAGGTATTATTCACATGGAAAAATTTATCAAATTCTGTTAGCATGTTTTGATGTCTAACTTGCTGATGGTCAAAGTGTATTTATCTCAATATTAGACTTCCTGGCCTGTATGTTCCATACTAGTCCAATAGTATTATCTAAAGTTTGAGAAAGTTCTTGGTTAGACCAAGTGACCTGGCTATATTTTGAAGAGACAAGAGAAGAGATAAAAATAAGGTGGTTAGATACATTTCTATTGACATTGATACGATATAGTTTTTCTTTCTTTTTTCCTTGAAATCTATGGGTTTAGAGAGATTGAAATTTTCAATTCCAATATCTTTTTCTCATTGATGATGATGATGATGATAACCTTTCTCCATGAAATTGATTGGATTTGCAAGTCTTTCTCTTACAAGATGGCCTCGATTAATATCACTTATTTTTTCTCTCATTGACTGTATTGGGCTTCTACAGGATGCAAAGCATGGTACAACAACCGGTGTTTCTGCTCGTGATAGGGCAAAGACTGTGTTCGCTCTTGCATCTAAAGATTCAAAACCTGAAGACTTCAATCGCCCAGGTCATATTTTTCCCCTGAAATACAGAGAGGGAGGGGTTTTGAAAAGAGCTGGACACACAGAAGCTTCTGTTGATCTTGCTGTCCTGGCTGGGCTAGAACCTGTTGCTGTTTTGTGTGAGATTGTTGATGATGATGGTTCTATGGCTAGATTGCCTAAGCTTCGCCAATTTGCACAGGCAGAAAACTTGAAAATCATATCCATTGCTGATTTAATCAGGTATTTCAGTAAGTGTTTCGGGGTTCCTTTGGAGTGGCAATTTTATCTCAAAGATTCAGTGACTTGCTTTGATTTTTTTTCACCAAATTACCGCTTATTTCTCTATATTTCTGCACATAATAATTTGAACTATGCCAAGTGATAGTAAATTTAATTGGAAATCTCTTGAGAACTAGGAACTAGTATCATTGTGCATATACCGTACTTTATATTTTAGGGAGTTCTGCATCGATCAATTATCAGGTTTAATAAGACTTTAAAAACTGCTAGGCCTGCTTCATCTATTATGGAATCTGAGTCTATCTTTGTACTATTCCGTGAATGGATCCTTGCCCTATTTTTATTCATCCTATTCACTGTTGGACCTGCATAAAGGAAGTACTAGGGAATCCTACATAAATTAAATCATGGTTTGATATGGTTTCATGTATCCATTGGAATCTTCCATGTTATAATTGAAGCCTTGTGTTCTGTAATGGCATCCAAGCTTGTCATATTAGTCCCAATATTCTTCATCCTTGCTTTCTTCTATTTATATTGTGTATACATTTGTTTATAATTTTAACCCTCAAATTACTTTTAAGCTTTGCGTCCCCAACCCCCCATTTTCTGGCTTTCACACCATGGTCTCCCAAGCTCAAGAATCTGGTTCTGCCCCTACACCACATGTTTGGCTCATTCTTCTATTGGTTCACATTGCTAGTGGAGCTATAGGGAATTACTTCTCAATTAAAATCTTGGGTTGAATGGGGTTTCAGATACATGTTTGGTTCTTCCACCTGATAACTTGAGCTTTTGGCTTGGACTCCTTGTCATGTTTTCAGAGTATGTCCATTTTAGGGCATATTCAAGAATTCTGCCTTGCCAGGTTCTTATACTTCCATGTATGCCCTGTTCAAGTACAGGCTCATTTCAGGTGTAACTTCTATCATATATTTTAGTTGTACCTAGAGATGTTGTTACTTCTTGTCTTATGTTCTTCCCAGTGGAATAATTGATATTTGGTACTCAGATTGTTCTTATTCTTCTGCTTTTTGGGGAAATGTAATGCCCATTCTAAAACTTGTTTGTAAATTTTAATTGGCAGATATAGAAGGAAAAGAGATAGATTGGTAGAGCTGGCTGCTGCTGCACCGATACCTACAATGTGGGGACCATTCACTGCATATTGTTATAGGTCATTACTAGATGGGATTGAGCATATTGCGATGGTTAAAGTAAGCAATTATCTGAATTAGCATGATTTTCTGCTAAATCTATTTGACATTTACGTTTATTGGCAGACAAATGTCAAATTTACTGTTGTGATGGTAAGCATCTAAGGTCATCCTTGCCATTGTAATAGTGATCCAGTTTGATTTGGTAGTAAGAATGTATTTTCTCATGCATCAGGTAACTCATAGTGTCTTTTAAGTAACTAAGAAAAATAATGGTCTGTTAGAATTGATTGTGTACAATATTGAGACCTTCATTTCTTCTGTTTAACTTCTAGCATCTGCATTCCTTATAGCCATGAGCACATAGTCGGAGGCCCTTCTTGCAGGTTTCCTTCTCAAATAACTTGTACTTTTGGAGTACATTTATGTACTTGTGTGAAGTGTTCCTATTAAATATACAATACTTTTTCTCAATGGCCTTTTTATTTAACTTAATGCCGGAATAATCCTCTTTGTTAGTCTTGTAAATTGGAATTTGCAAAGGCCTTGAGGAAGTTGTGGTAATCTATATCATGGCCCATACATGAAAATGTTTTCAGAAAGGAAGGAACCATGACATGACAAATTTGTTTGTGGAAATCATTGATGGGAAATATGCTTCTTGGGAACTGTGGCGAGAAAGCCTTAAGCTGAAACTTTGAGCATAACCCGGCAGATATTGTGCCAAATATAGGGCTCATGTCCAATGATTTCAATGTCTAATTATGTCTCTTGATGCATCTTGCATGTAAAACGTGGTTACAGGTTCGTGTAAAAGATTGAAAATTCATGTGGTTTACCGTGACCAACTTTTTGTCTGCAATAATTAATATTTGATATAAAATTTCTAATTTATTAAATCTTAAGGGCTCATTTCACATTAATCATTGCCCCAAGGGATAGACATAGAGTACATATTTAGTGCACTTGTCTCCAATGTAATTTTCTTTTAGCTTTATGTTCACACATGATTCCATTGAGTAGGTATATTAATCTGTATCCCTTGTTGGAGAAGTGAATACTTTGTTTCTACTGCTCTTATAATAATAATAATAATAATAATAATACTTTGTTTCTACTGCTTTACAACAAGTTATTGGTTGCAAGCAAGACGTCTAATGAGGAACTAGAATAATTAGGAGGCTTGAGTTTTGATGTTTTACATTGAGATTTCTTTCTTCATGAATTTGTCATATTGTGAACTTATTGCATAATTATTGGTGTCTATATCTCCATTCAATAAGACAGGAAACAGCAAGAATTCAGAACAGGAACTGGAATAATTATGAGGTTGAAATATGATGTTACATTGAGATTTCTTTCTTCATGAATTTTTTATCAATTCCTTGTGAAAATTTTGCAATATTGGTAGAACTTGAAAGTTGTTATTAGTTGGAGAAAATTTCTTCACCTCATTAAAGTTTGGTTAAAACAAAACTTATTTTTCGGAGTCTTACTTGAATTGAAAGCTGCAATAGTTGGATGCTTTTTCTTTACCAATCTCACAGTTTTTGAAATTGATCCATTGCATGGAGTTTCAAATCAAGCTGCTACTAAAATGTGAACTTAGAATTAAGTTATGCCAGTGTCCATTATGCACATTACAGTTAAACTTCTGGCATAATTGGATCATTAAGAGACAGTTGCCCGAATGCTGGCCAGAGAAAATAAATAAATAACTCTATAGATAGCTGGACATGCAGGTTGACCATTTCCTAGTTATGCATTGTAAATCCTTGCAACAAATGTGGAGTAAAGTCACTGTGACATGCTGGATACCAAGCTTGTGACGAGTCCATGGAAAACTAATGCTCTTGTATCTACTCCTCATACAGTGAAAATCTCTCTACTTTTTTCTGCCATTATGTTGTGTTTGGGATGCAGATACTATGAGTATGTATTCACAGAGTTGTACTGCATACAGGGTGAGATTGGGGATGGACAGGATATTCTTGTGAGGGTGCATTCTGAATGCCTCACTGGTGACATTTTTGGATCAGCCAGATGTGACTGTGGAAACCAATTGGCATTGGCAATGAAACAAATTGAGGCAACTGGTCGGGGTGTATTGATCTATCTCCGTGGACATGAAGGTAGAGGAATTGGTTTAGGCCACAAGCTACGTGCCTACAACTTACAAGATGATGGTCGTGACACAGTTGAAGCAAATGAGGAACTGGGATTACCTGTTGACTCTAGGGAGTATGGTCTTGGAGCGCAGGTTTGGGTTTCTTAACAACTTATTAATTCTTGTTCATTGCATTGATTGCTCCCACATTATTTTCTCTTAATCACCATAGATAAAATTCAATCTAGATTTCCACAATCACAAAATGTTAGATTCTAAAAAGATACTTACGATTGAGAATTAAAAACTTATGTAATGACTGCATGGTGACTTAAAGTATTTTTCTACAAATCTGTTGGGTAGAAAAATATAAACATGGTAAGGAAAAATAAGTGGGAATTTGTGAGATATATTTTAAGGGTTTCAAAGAAAAAAATGAAAGTAACAGCGAAACCATCTATTGTTTTATTAAATTTTAATTTATATGTATCATGTAAAGAAATTATATTGCTATTTTTATAACATTTAGTAAAAGTTTATTTTCTTATCACCTCTGATTCTGAAGCAGATACTACGAGATCTCGGTGTCCGGACAATGAGGCTGATGACAAACAATCCTGCCAAATATGTCGGCCTCAAAGGCTATGGTTTAGCAATTGCTGGAAGGGTTCCACTGTTGACACCAATAACTAAGGAGAATAAGAGATACTTGGAGGCCAAACACGCAAAAATGGGACACCTATACAGTTTGGATTCCAACGGCCATGTTAATCGCATCAATGATGAAAATGGTAATTCTGGCATTGACAGCCCATCTGATGGTGTATCAAAGGTATAAGCAATTCTCTCGCAACAACTTGTATTTAAGTAGGATATTTTGGTGTTTCTGCCATTGCACCAAGTTTGGTGGAGTACTTGAATTTTGTTTACAGTGAGAAAGAAAAATATATATTATTTTCCATTGATAACTTGGGTCATATACATGTGTTCACTCGAGTTAAATTGTGAATAATTCATCAAATGAGATCTTTTTTCCTCTATTGAGAAAAGAGATAGTATATACCAGTTTCTTCCTCCATTTGAGTGGCTGTGCCAATGACTCTACCGTTTGAAATTCTGATTGCCATTGTTTTAAGGACAAATGGATTTTGTGGGAATTCTAAAATTTAAAGGTATAAACAGTTATCACACACCGAGAAATTTGCTTCTGTATTTTTATATATGTTGTAATAGTTAATCCTGGGTTGAGTTTTTGCTTTCAAGTAAAAATGCACCGGGGTTTTATATTGTATGGTTACACAGAATTGACAATTATTGGTTTTGAAAGAATGATTCATTCTTTCAATTATTTGCATGTGTTTTTGCGTTTTTTTTTTTTTTTTTTTTTTATTTCAAAAAATTCGTAAAGGTCACTTACAGAAGTGGTTTTTGATTAATGTTATAAAGTTTACTCTTGATGAATTTTAGGAGAATTTTATGATAATCTGCAAAACTTCAGGAGAATTCTTGTGGAAGCTGAATGCTTTTACTAACTTTGAAAGGACGTCGTTGCTAGGAATGAGTACTTAAATTGTTTCTGCAAAAGCTTCTGAGTTAAGAGGAAGAGATAGTGTATTGCAGAGGCATTTTTTCATCATTAAAGTTGGGGTGGTTTTTGTGACATAAAATTTGGTAGTGAAAAATGAAAATGTCCTGTGTTCTTGGATTCTTTGCACTTGATTGTTTGGTTATCCCAGAAAAAGAGAAGTTTTTGATTAAAAATAAAGAGTAAACGTCATGTTCCACACGAAGTTTAGCGAAATCCCAAGCTAATACCTTTGGTTATATTTATTCCGGATTTCCTCTTTTAAATTAATAGAACATCGTTTAATATAACAATCAAATGCATTGCATTAAATCTGAAATAGAAATGAAAATTTCAAAATAATTCACCATAGCTAAAATTCCTCTTAGAAGCATCCTCTCTCTAAAAATCAGCTTGTATTTTATCGGAAGTGTTGGCACTACCGTCGATCGGTTCGGGTCGATTCCGATGAGAAAACTGGCCAAAATCAACTCCTTTTTTGCAAATCCAACCCTTTCCTACCTCAAATTAGACTTGATCTCACCATTTTGTCGTCAATTGCCTCCTGTCTTTCCAAGTCAGATTCCGGTCAAATCCGACGACCAAAATAAAATCTTCCACCACCTTCTTAACCGCTGGCCTTCACTTTACAAAACCCTTTAAACCCCGTCACTTGGTTTCTCTCCGATCGTCGGTTGTAGGGGTGAAATTCTAGTGTTTTAGTCAGGCTCAGCTCAACAATAGTCGAGTCGAGTTCGATCACGATCCAACTCGAAAAGCTCGATTAAGCTTGATCAAAACTCGATCATCCGAGCTCGAGTTCAAACTCAAATTCTAATTTCAGGTATCGAGTTCGAGTTCGAACATGATTCCTCAAGCTCGATCAAGCTTGAATTCGAACTCGAATTCAATACTGTAGCAATCGAGTCAAGTTTGAGTAGCCAGATACTCGACTTGATTTCACCCTTAGTCGGCCGTAAAGTGTTGCCGTCTCGTTGCTGGGTTTTTGCCTCATTTTGGAGCTTTTTAAAGGCTATTTTTTTGTAGTTTTGTGTTGGTTGTTGCTATTGGAGTGTTAGTGTTGTGTTTTTTGGACTGATTGTGGGTGTCTGGGTTTCCATCATCCCCCAACCATTCCCAAGTCTCTTCCTTTCGGAGGCACGCCAGGTGCTTGAGGAAAAGACCTAGACAACGTGCGCATGCACGGCTAGCGATTTGAGGGTGCATTGGGGAAGGAAAGTTTGTAGTGGGTGATGTGGGAGAATCTGATGGTAGTGTCAATGGTGGTTTCCAATGTCAAAATCGACCAGAATATGGCCTAAAAAATGGGAAAACGGGCAAAGGGATAGTGGTCGTCGGCTGGTGATTTGAGGGTGGTCTAGGGAAGGAAAGTTAGGGGTAATCTGGCTTGAAAGACAAGAAAACGCACGAAGGGACAATGGTCGTCGTCTGACGATATGAGAGTGCACTAGGGAAGGAAAGTTAGGGGTTTTGTAGTGGGTGATGTGGGGAATTTGATGGAAGTGTTGAGGGGGTCGATGTTGCCAGAATCAGGCCAGAACTAGCCTAAGCCGGCACTCAGTTTGGCGGCAGTGGAGAAAAGAAGGGGAGATGAAGGAGGAGGTCTGAGGGTAGTTTAGTAAAAGCACCCTCTGCTCCCATGTAATAATCCATTTGTCACTACCAACGTCTATTTAAGGGTGGGAATCTAGAATTTATGAAACCAGGGATACCAACTTGGGATTTTGCTAAACTTTGGGTGGGAATATGTCGTTTACTCAAAAATTAATAAAAACATCTTTGATTCATTAAAGTCGATGACAACACAAGATTGGAGCTTTCATTTTTATAATATTTTTCAGAAATGTGTATGAACAATTATCGCCAAGTATTATAGGGTTGGGCATGGGTAACCGGTAAACCCGAAATCGGTGGGTACCCATATGAACTCGAAATCGAAATCGAAAACGGAACCGGAACCGGAACCGGCCCACACAAGGTCGGTTTTGGTTCCAAATTTGGTGGAACCAACCTTGTGCAGGTCCAAGTTCAATTACACCACTTTAAGAACTAGACCTGGAATCAAGAACGGGACCCAAAACGAGGTTCAAGTACTCACGATGTATTTGTAACTTTATAAACTATTAAGGGTGTATTTGTAATTTTTAGGGGTATATTTGTTATTTTTTAGAACATCAGGAGGCATAGAAACTTATAGGGTACTTGGAACCAGAACCAAAACCTGTGTTTCAAGTTTCGGTTCCAAATATAAGGAATCGACCGGTTCCGGTTTTGGTTCTTTGAAATTAGGTCGGGTATCTGATCCGCTCAGCCCTACCAAGTAAAATTATATCTGAATCTTTATTTTCTAATATTTCTCAGAGTATAAGGATGCTTTAGAGAAAGAATCCAATTCCATGATCTGATGATTTTAGAAAGAATATTCACTAATTTATATAATATAATAAGTTGAAAGATGAAAATAAAATTTTACTTGAAATATTGTATCTTGAAAGAGTTTTCAGGGTTGGAGTTCATAATAGCATATATTTATATATGGGAATATTATACTTACAACCCAATCTCACAAGTTTTTTCTCACAATCCTGATGTGGCAGCTCATAATGGATCTCGTCTGTCTGATTGCGAGCTGCCACGTTGGGACTGTGAGAGAAAGTTTATAAAATTGGGTTGTGAGTCAATCTTTATTGTTTTTATATTTATATAAAACAATTAATATGCATTTTTCAGAGAAAGTTTATAAAATTGGGTTGTGAGTCAATCTTTATTATTTTTATATTTATATAAAACAATTAATATGCATTTTTCATAAAATAGCCTCCAAGTTTCAAGCTATTAATAAATGTTTATTATCTTATACTCATTGATTTATCTAAATGATGTAAAGACTTAAAATACGAAACTTAAAAGGTAAATATTAAATGAAAGAACAAACCATTAGGTGATCTGCTGGTAAAAGAGCAAAAGGAGGTTCTATGAGCTCCTGAGTTCAAGTCTCCCCAGGTATTAATAGGGGCGACTATTAAGGCTCTTACACGACCGGTAGTTCTAAGATCTTGATATATTAGTTGAGGTGCGTGCAAACTAGGTCAGACACCCACGATGATAAAAAAAATATTAAATGAAATTTGATAAATACAAATTTAGAAAATACATATATATGACTACTTAGGTATGTTTTAAAACAACTATATTTGTTACAAGACTTTTCTTATATTTTAATATTTGTTGTAAAGAAAATGTGGATCTACCACCATTTGACACCTTTCACCATACCATTGCCACCTCTTGACACATGGTAAAAGGTGGCAACAATTTGTGGCACCTAATTGCTAAATGTCATGTTTTGATTAGTTTGGGGGTGGCAGGAATTACTATATAAACCCTTCCCTCCTTTGTAATTTGAGAGAACTACTATGAGAGATAATAAATTTCGACCCTTTATTGTTCTTTTATTTGCAATAGTCCCTTATCTTTCATTTGTTATGCATTAGTCCTTATAATTGTTTTATATTTTGGAATTAGTTTAACACGTTATCAGCACGAAGAGCTTAACAAGTGTAACATTGCACCCCTATTGAAAGTACGTACTTCAATCTTACATGTGTTCTTTAATTTCTGTTTCTGCCTTTATGGTTGGATTTATTTATTATTATTAAATTATGCCTCTATGGTCGAATCTATTTATTATTGTTAAATCATGTCTCTATGGCTAGATCTATTTATTATTGTTGAATACCGCCTTCATGGTCAGATCTGTTTATTCTTGTTGAATACAAACTTTTTTGGTTAGATCTGCTTTTATTATATTTTCAATAGCTAAATGTGATAAATGAACTTGAAGTTCCATAAATAAATACTGTTTCAAAACTGAAGTTCTAAATACTGATTACAAACATGAACTTTGTAAAACAGAGACAAAAAATGAATTTAAAAGTTCCACATCATGAAGATGAAGTTCTGTAAACATCTTTACTAATGTAATTTTTTTTTCAAGGATGGACTTCGAAACTGGGGCATTGATATCTAGTAATAGTTGAGATATTTGTATAGTAGACAGTGCGACAACGCACACCATCCTTTGGGATAGAAAATATTTCTTAGGTTTGACCTTTACTGAGGCTAAGATAAATACCATATCAGGATCTGCAAAAATAATTGAGGGCTCCGAAAGAGCAACACTTGTGTTACCAAGCAGAACTAAATTAAGTATCCATGATCCTTTATATTCTAGCGAATCCAGAAGAAATTTGCTTAGTTTCAAAGATATATGACTCAATGGATACCACGTTGAAACTTTAAATGAAAAGGATGGAGAGTTTCTATGCATCACTGCTAATATTTCATGCCAGAAGCATGTACTGGAGAAACTCGTTGCTTTCTCATCAGGGTTATATTACACATTCTTGAAGAATATTGAAATCTATGCAGTTATGAACCAAAGGTTCACTGATACTAAACTTTTTAAAATTTGGCACGACTGTCTTGGTCACCCATGATCTACTATGATACGTAGGATCATAGAAAAATCACATGAGTCACCCATTAAAGAACCTGAAAATTCTGTCACCTAATGAGAGAGCTTGTATTGCTTGCTCACAAGGCAAATTGGCACTTAAGCCATCCATCACTAGAGTTGGTCTAGCATCCCCCTCATTTTTACAAAGAATTCATGGGGACACATGTGGACCTATTCATCCACCAAGTGGACTTTTTCACTATTTTA